AGAATGAAATGAGATAATATACATGTTAAGCATTGGCTGCAATGTCTGGCCCACAGTAAGCACCAATAGATGCCAGCCCTAGTGACCGTCATTTTAAACTCTTCTGTCACTCTATCACGAAATTGTGATTCTGTTTCTAAAAGTGTAAGCTTAACACAGTTTTTCCTGAAAAGCTGAATTCTGAAATCTGATTTTGCACTTACTTGAATCTACTCCTTCTCTAAACATTAAAGAACATGCAAGCAAAGTGCACCCCTCCCCATTGTCTTTTTCATTACAAAAAGATGCCACACATGGGAGGCCACTGTTATTGATGGAATCCCACATAAAATGCGGATTCTGCGGGTGATGAAAATTGATGCAGGTAAAAACAATTTTAGCTCTATGGCACTTTGTGGTCTAAAACTGTGAAGACATAACCCTCAGCTTAACCGAACTCATTTAAAAGTCCTATTTGTGAAACATACCACTTATTTAGGACAAAGGAGATGAAAGGAACAGGGAATCTAAATATCTCCACAGAGATTGTTTTTTTCTAGTTAGATGATGAGTGTAGTGTCTGGCTAACAGCCTTCCTTATGACAGTGCTGGCGAGGAGAGCCTACACAGGTGTGATAAGCCAAGTGCTTTCCAGCTGAATGGACTACTTCAGCGATTTGTGGGATATGATTTGCTTGAGCCATGGCCTTTCCAAGCCAATCTCCTAATGAGTTGAACTTAGAACTGCTTCTGCTTGCTAAGCGTGTCAGGGCTTAGGATGGTGGGGAACGTTGTATTTTGTTCACGTGAGCTACATGAGTATAAAGAAGAAAACCTGGGGGTCTGTCCTTGCAAGGCTGACTCCGAAGAAAAACCTTGCCTTGCTTTCATTTTGATAAAGGATAGAAATAATTCCAGTAGAAAGAGTGGCAATTGTGAAGGGGAGAGCCTGATGAATTGGGGAGAAAGTGAGAGAAATAGTTACACAAATGTGAGAGATAACGTGTAAGCACGTATCTAGCCAATATCTGGATTGGTGTCCTTCACAGTTACCTTGAGAGCCTGTATCTGCATTCCAGGGATGTAACTACTGCTCAAAACACCTTGGGCAATGCTCTTGAAGATTTTTCCTTGTTATTCTTTATTATATGACTGCACAGATGACTTAATTTCAACATGATGAAAGACCATTACATTACTCCTAACACTTTGCATGTTTGTAAGCAGACAGATGAAACATCGTTTCGTGGTTTCATGTCTCGCCGTCACCAGCTTTTTTATACCTGTGGAACACTCCCCAAGCCTCTACAGGAATGCTATGTACTGGGAGCAATGTGACAAGAGCTCTTTTGTCTCCAGTGTTCAGCTTTGGTTCTCTCTACTCTCAAGGATCAGGGCACACAATTAACATCAAAGTCTTTCTTACAAAATGATTTAGACAAGACAGTGACCACAGACAAAGAACGCCTGGGTACCAGGCAAGCTGCTAAGGGAGAATTCTTCATCTGATGAGACACGCGTGTTACTTTGATATACAGAACACTTCTCAGTAGTGTTTGTTAAATAGCTATTTTATCTGTTTTGTCGTGGGTTGAACAGAGGCAGAACGTTAGAAGGATTTGAAATGAAATTCTCAGTGATTTCAGCCTAAATTTAGGAACACATGCAATTTACCTCAATACCTTACTCTGCCAACACGTATTTAGTGGGTATACTATGTGTTGGGCATGATACTAGAGATTTAGGAAAATAGATACTTATCAGGCATCTCCCTTCACCATTAGCGTGTATGTTAGAGAGAGTGAAGAGCTACGGATTGCCACAGAGAGCATGGGGATATACTGTAGGTGCAAACATGGCAAACACCTAGAGGTAAGAAGTTAGCCTGGAACACCTGAGAAAGAAGTTCAGCATAGTTACCAGCTAGAAGAGAGAGGAAGAATGGTCTAAGAAAGGGCTGGAGATGTTTGGGTTGGGAAGTCATTCTGAAAGGAAGTCATGGAAAGAATTCCAAAGTCTGGAAAGTTTACTCAAGTTAATTCCCATGGACTAGAACGTGGGTGCCCTTTAGAACTAAACCCTAAGCCCTAACAAATTTGTTTTAAAGAACTTTGTGATACATGGAGGTTGGGGAGCCTGGGAAAGAAGTGAATTGGTATGAAGAATCATACTTTAGTAATGACATAGGGGAACTAGGTGGGAAGGGGGAATTGGGGAGGGGATAAGGGAAATCCCAGGAGCCTTTTTAACTGTATCATAAAATGATAATAATAATAAATAGATAAAGATTAAAAACAAACAAACAAACGAACAACAACAACAACAAAAGGAGTTGGGGCAGTCCTTTAGGAAATAAAGGGCCAGAGTGGGGCGCTGTCCACCAGCCAGGTGCTGAATAGCATAAGCCCAAAGATGCCTGAAGGAGCTTCTTGGGGTATGAGCATGTGGTGCAAGGTACTAATACCTTTCTCAGGGGTGGGAGCAAAGCAGTTGGCCCTTGTGTCTCATCCATGTACTTTCCACCTACTTTTATTTGTCGTCTCTAACTCCCTTCTTTGTACCCCACCTCTTTGACAGTTCAGTTCAGTCTCCCTGCAAGGATGAGGGAAGGGGGTGAGTGTTGCTCCTCTTTCATCAAAACGTCTTATAAAGAGTCAGCAGAATATTTATGGCCACACACTCCAGGCTTTAGCTTAAGGTTGCAGGACTGGTTATAACGTTAAATTGGCCATCCACACTCTTTTGAGGTGTTTGGTGGGGGAAGATAGATTCACAGTTAAAGTGTAGTTGCTACTACTGAGAAGTATTTAGTGTAGGCCAGTCAGTTTATCCAGTACTCTACTTCCTTAAATCTAAGAGAGGATGCTGTTATTTCTATTTCATAGACTATGGCTTGTGGTTTGTGGTGGTTGTGATTTTTGCTTGTTGCTCAATAAATGATTACTGAGACTCCATAACCAAGAAACAGGGATGGAAAAAGCAGGAACTAAAATTCATTGATGATCTACCATGTAGAGCTCCTTTTGAGTCACTTCATCTAGTTTGATGGCAGGTCTGGGAAAGTGTACCATGATTATTCTCATCTGACAAGTTTGGATGCCATGGCTCAGAGAGGTTAGGTAATTGGCTGAGGTCACACATGAGTACGTGGCTGAGCCAGTGGGACTCTCTGATGCTGAAGCCTGTGCACTCTCATCTGGAGTGTTTGCTCAGTTTCATGAGCCACTTACAGCTATAATCTAGCTTAAAAGTGGCAAGGGCAAAATGCTTGCCTCATTCTGCCTCCGAGTCTTGCTGTCCCCCCATGCCATCTTTAGCTTGAGGAGGGCAGCTCCCTGTACCAGTGTGTCAGAGTGTGTAGGCTTCTGAGGATGATAGCATCTTTGTTTGCTGTAATTGCATACTTATTAGGTCATAAGTTGTCATCCAACTGACCTGGCTTTTGAATTCCCACTGGACAGTTTGGCTGCAGTACCAGGATTGGAAATGTCAGTCTGGTAAATGACCTTCAACGGGGAGGAGGGAGACTGAGGGCAAAGTCCCCTTCAAATGAAACTTCAATGGATGCCAGTGAACACAGTCAACATCTCACTTACTTCCAATCCCCTGGAGTGGCTATGTAATGGAGAGAAACTGCTGGATTGGAGAGAAATAAAAAAACTCTTCTGATTCATCGGAATTATTTTTTCATCTCCCAAAGGAGGGATCGGCATCACCTTCTTGTTCCCACAACCCCAAAGGGAAAAAACACTGACTTCTGGTGAGTAGGGCCCACACCTCCCTCCTCTTCTGCTTGATTCAGACCATTAGTCCTGCAGACGCGGAGCCTCTTGGAGACCCAAGGACGCATCTACATCGGAAGGATAGACAGGCAGTGCTCGGAGTGAGGGCAGTGCCTCCAGCCTATGGCAGCACAACTCCAGGTACGAGCTGCTGGAAACAGCAGACTCAGAGGTCACGTGATGCTGTTGTGCCAGCTCATCTTCACTCCAGCACAGTCTGCTTCAGGCTGACTGCAGGTGGCATAGTAGTGCCATCCTGGGGAGCTGAGTGGCAGCTGAACTCCACAGGTTCAGCTCCATTTCAGAGTCGTGCCGAGTTGATAAGCTGCCAGTCCAATGCTTTCAGCTTAAAGGTGAGGAAACCGAGGCCCAAATAAATCAAAGATCTTTCAAGCTTACAGAGGCCACTAGGAAGAATCCAAATAGGACCCAGGCCCTACTCTTTGGCTAGCCTGTTTCTGGATCAGCCTCACAGAACCTTAGGTGTGAGTGGGGCCAGCACTTCATCTCCTTGATTTTCAGTTTCTCCTTTTGTAAAAAGACAGGAACATGGAATGATGGTAGTAAGTTCCACCCTGTCTTACCTCGTAGGCTTTCTTATTAGTACAGAAAAATAAATGTCAAATGGGAGTGTCAGACAAAATCCCCAAGAGAAAATTCTACACACATGTAAAGCCTCACTGTTATTTAGGGATAACATGTATTGTTGATCAACCATGTAATTATCATGATTAATCAAAAAATGGTAGTAATAATAATAATAATAATAATAATAATAATAATAATAATAAACAAATAAGAACTGTATCTATGAACTATCCGGAACATGTTTGTGTTAATATTATATTAGCATGAGAATTAATGGGAGTTCTATATTAGTAATTATCATTTGATGTACTTGCTGTGATCCTCAGAATCTAATGTACTAATAAATTCCTTTAAAAAACAAACATGCATTGTTGAGTTTTCTTTCTTTCTGTGGATCCCTACAGATGTGCGGAGACAGAGTGAAGGGGGCCAGACCAGGGAGATGGGAGACAAGTGTTCATGAGCAGCAAAAGCCCCTGGAGGCCCTTGTGTTCTTGGCAGCTGGTAGAAGGTGTGTGTGTGTGTGTGTGTGTGTGTGTGTGTGTGTGTGTGTGTGTGAATAAATGATCATGCAAGTCTGCAGGGGCTTGGGAGAAGGAATAGTCATGGCCTCACCCGCATTATGGTGATGCTGGGATGGCATAGGCCTACCTGTCAGACACGTCGAGGAGTGGTAACACTACCCACTGCCACAGGCTCAGGCCGTCACTGGGAGGAACATGCCAGAGCATCCTGCTTTGTTCCTTCCCGGTCTTGTTCTCCACTAGCACCAAGGACACGTTTCCCTTCAGGACTCCGCGGATGAGCCAGGCCATTCGGAGCTGTCGGGGAGAGAGGAGCCAGGGGACAAGTGTTAGTGCTGACGGGAAAACTCAGGTCCCTTCGCCAGAATCCAAACCTGAAGCCTAAGGCCTAAAGTGGATTTTTCTTTTTGTAAACAGGAGACTCAGACAAGGTTCGCTCAGTGAGGACAGCTGGACGCCTACTGCCTGGTGCTACTCACTGTCTCCCACAGTGGCTTTCATTAAAGTTCAAGGATCCGGGCTGGGACATCAGAGGAACAGTTTTGGAACTTTGTTTGGGTTGATATTGTCATTCCAAACCTCACAAGATTCTGCTTCATAGGTTCTATCAAGATCAATGAGATATTCAGCAAAACTTCCTACCGAGTAACCCAAGGATCTTGTCTGAGGCCCCAGTTTACTTGTGACCTTGGACAAGTGACTTTGTGACTTAATTTCCTTTAGGTAAATGCGTTTATGTATAAATGTATATATGTACACACATATACAGGTATTACATACCTGTATGTGTATATATGTATACCTGTATATGTGTATACATATATGAATAGATATGTATCTCTGTGTGTGTGTGTGTATGTGTGTATTTTCTTTCCTTGATGAGTTGAAGAATCTTATGTGAATGATGCCATGTCAGGTGTGAGCCATCAGGAGACCCTGTGGCTTGATGCTTGAGCCACTGGTAGGCAAAGGCCAGATAGAAATCTACCCACCCAGATCATGTCATATGGTTGCCTTTAGAAGAGCCATGCACATTTTGCTGCAAGGTGGCTACAATCGCGACTTTCCATCATGTCTTTGTTAGAGGCTTCTGTGGCCTTGCTCCCTAGGCATTTGAAAGGAAACTGTAACAATTCTTCTAAGAAAGTTGAAGCCCAGTCATGTTCAGGAACAGGAACAGCATCAACAAGGTCTCTGGTCTTTGTGTTTAAAATAATTGAGGTTGAAGGTTTGACAGGAACAATCTACAATCTACAAATAACATTTAAAACTCAGGACAACTTCATTGTATCATTGCCCCACATATCCCTGTTCAGATCTTGTAATAAAGTGGCTATTGTAGAGAGAACGGTCAACTGTGTTCTACAGCAAGCATTTTTGACAGCCATTGCACCCCCTTTTCCTCTGATATTCTTTCGTCTCACAATCTCACTTATGGTTGCTTCACAATTTGATTAAAGAGGTTAATTACCATGAGGCACTACAGCAAAAGACTTCACCCTCTTACTTTCAAACCTTATCTAATAAGATTGGGTTCCATAGGGACCCATCAGCCAGGTAAGCCTTGTCTATAGCCATAGTCTCTTCACTTGTGCCATGTCTATTTTCCCATAATCAAGGTGGAAAATATTTGTCTCCATTGAGACCTCCCAGGAGAATTGTCCGAATTTAATTATTTTCTTTTTTTCTTTATTGGCTCTCTTGTGCTACCTGAATGCCTTGGTTGGGAATTTTAATGCTACCCCCTGCTAACTCTAAATTGTCTCAGCCCCTCAGCCTGTGTCACGTGGTGTTCAATTTGGGATCATGATGGATGAATGATTTCTATCTTGCTCCCTGACTACAGAGTATTGCCGATTTGGATGGTTAGGAATTCAGACTGTTGAATCCCCAGGCTCCGAATGATATCCTGGCAGTACTTGCTTATCCTCTTTGGATTTTCGTGGCTGATTTCTGGATACATATAACGCAATGTGTTTTTTTTTTTTTAAACTTTTTTTTTTGATGATGTTTACATAGTTGATCAGGGTGGGAAGGGCTGAGGATCAGGGGATAGTGGGTGAGACCATTGTTTATATATTTTATTTTTCTTCTTCCTGTATATGGAGGAGAGGAGGATATGAGAGGAGAAACCACACCCAGTTTCCCAACCACTGCATTACCAGGGGGATGAGGAATTGCCACCCAATGTCGTCCCAGGGTCTCCACTGTGGAGCAGCACAATGTTGTTTCAAACTCTGCTCTGATGCTGATGTTGCCAGCTCCTTCTCCCCAACACTGGATCCGTTCACTTGGTTCCTACTTTCCAAAGAATGGACTACTACACCAGGGACAATCCCCTTCAGTGCCTGCTCCTTCCTCTCTACTGCAGCATGTCTACGAGGTGTTTATCCACTCATCTTCCTCTAGTCTTGTCCTACAGAATGATGCATCCTTTCCTGATTTTGCTGCTTCCTGGCCCCTGTTTTTTTCAGTCATGGTCCTCCTTTCTTTGACACTGCCATTTTCTCTGCCTTCTGCCTGTCTGTCTGTAAAGATCAGGTTTCACCTGTTGTGAAACTGGAGTCCTCTAGCTGATTGTGCTGGTTTCTCTGGTTTGCCACCCATTTCTGTGCCTCCATGCAGATGTTTACATCTGGGGTAATGGGGATGCAGCTTCTGCTCTGGTTTCCTTGTTGATCACTCTCAAGTCTTTCAACCTGGCTTCTGGCCTCACTTCATCATTATTTTAACAAAATGACTCTCAATATGTCCTCTTTCATTTATTTTTGTACTCTCCTAGTAGTCTCCTGTAATGCTTCTCCCTTCTCATGTTTTTCCCTTTCAAATTTTCCTATAGATTTCTATCACACCAGCTGTAATTCTGGAGTTCAACAACTTTCAATGGCTTCCCATTCCCTATTAAAAAAATCAAGGCATTCACATTCCTCTATAACATAAGAGAACCATTTTTCATATCATTTAGAAACTGAGCCACTTGCACCCTCCATTCCAGAATGGTAGAAGAGCTCTAGTATCAGAAGACTCTGAATGCAAAACCTGTTCTTGTCCCTCTGGGCACATTTTTTTCATCATTTTGCAGCGTTAGTTTCAGTTCTCTGGGATGGTTATAGTCTGATCTATTTGATGGGGGTGAGAGCAACTGTCATGAGACAGTAATAAGATGTGGCTGAAACATGAAGGAAGCAGATAGTGTGCATGCCTAAGGGAAGTGTGAGAGTACAAAGTTGGCATGCAAGACTTTCAGAAGACTTGAACGAAGATTCACCCAAAGCTTGGATATAAAAAATCTGGTGGTTGTCTGTTAGAGAGAGTTTCTGAATTAGGCTTTGGCATGTCATGAGCGCCACCTCACCTTTTGCTAAGGAGAAGGCTGTGAGATGCTTCCTTCCGTCTAGCAAGTCAGAGGGAGGAGTCTCGACACCATAGAGAACTTCACCCCATGTCGTTCGGAAAGCATGGCAGATGACTGTCTATCTCCTACCTGGAAAACCTAAAATATAACTAGACTGATGGGCTAGCAGCTCTGTTGGCAGAACAAGAAGAGGTGACAGGATTAGATGGCTTGTCTTCCCTGAGCCAACTGGGTCAAAAATAAAAGCATGATTGTGGCACAAAGCCAAGAGGGGAAGCATACACAGGGAGCCATGTGGACATGCTGTCCAAGAGAGCTGCTTTGGAAGGATAAACAGACCACAGCAGAAATGATGCAGCCAGTATCTTGAGACACAAAGGACAGGGGAAGGCAGAAGTGACCACCTGTAATGGAGGTGCATAAGCCTGGGTCAAGAGAAAAACATCCCAGCCACAGTGGAGGAAGTCAGAAAAGGGGAGACCTGCAGAGAAGCTCCCAAATGCCCTGCATTAGAAGCAGTAAGCCTCAAACACTTGTCACACCAGTGCCAGATCACTGCCCCCTTCTCTTTCAGGGATGAACTTCCTCTATTTCCCTTCTCTTTCTATTTTCACAGCCCTGGGAGATGGGAAGTCAGCAAGATGGTGGAAGCAGAGGGAGAGCTTGGTGGGGAACCGAGGGGCCATTGAACCCACCCCCCATCCCACTTATTACTGGCTCTCCAATTGCAGGAATGCCAAGGGTGATGGGGAGGGGAGAAAAAGCATTGGCTTAAACTCAACATGTAAATTTTGCCCGATTTGGTATTAAGGTTACTTCATGTTTTGAGATGACACAAGAATGGCATGTATTCAGGTTGACTGCAGGAGCAGTGGGATCTGCCAAGGTTTTCACACCTGGGAGTTCAATGAATGGAGGTTCCCAGACTAGTCTCATACTGGGCTGCTCACCAGATTTGCACCTGCCTTGCATATTTTCTGCTTCTGTGCTTTCAGTTCATTTATTTCATCTATAGGCTCTCTCCTCCTTTTCCCTTAAGTAAAATCTGCTTTTTCCAAAGTCTTTTCTTATCATCCCTCTCAGGAAGGACAATCTCCCCCCGCCCCCTCTCTTAAATCTTATAACTGAGGCAGTTGGGACCAGCATGGGCTATAGCCCAACCACCTTGCCCTCCCTCTCTTCTGCCCCTCCATGCCCCAAGTTCTTTGAGCACCTTCAGGCAGGATCTGTCTTCTTCATCTTGAACTCACAACAGTTGCCAAGAGGGGAACCTGTCAATGTTGGAAGGAATAAACATGCACCTGTATACAGACAGCCATTCCTACCTCTGTCGAGTCCCCTCCCAGGGATGATAAATCAGCTTTCTACCCTGAGAACCTCCTTCACTCATCTGCAGCCTAGGGATCATATTCCAAAGCCAGGGACACAGGATGGCTCACTGCCCAGGTTTGAAGAAGATGCTGTGGTGCCATGTTCAATGAGACAGTTTGATCACATCAGTGCTGGAGCATGGGCTAGCTGGCTGCTGAGCTTTCTCATCAGGGCAAGAACAAGAATCGCACTGGCCATCAAGGGATGATGCAAAGGCTGTGGTATCCTTTCCCTTTCGGAAGTTCCACCAGGAACTGCCTCGGTGTCAGTCCTTGAGGGGAAAGCTGTTCATTTATACATACTCACTACATCTCTACATATTGTGCATACCTTCCCAGCCTCACAGACTTTGTTGTGTAGCCAGGCAGTCAGAATTCAAAGTGACGGATTATAAGCATCCTGAATGTAGCAAAAGGTGAAGTTACTGGAGCCATTTGACCTAAGTCAAGTCAATACTGTACAAACAAGATGGCTGAGGAGAGGCACTTGTTAGCACACAGTCTAGGTTGATTCTGCTGCTTAACTCAATTGTTCAGAGTTAGGACTAAATCAGAGTTTAAAAATGCATTTT